CACCCACACCCACACCTCAATCGAAATCTGTCGATCCGTTCGAATGATCGTTGATCGATTTCGAAGGACGATCAAATTCTTTCTGACATCAATTCAAACATCCATAGAGAGAAAAATCAGCGATGTTCTCATCATCGAATCTCAATTTGAGAATCAAATCAATTCTCTTTTCAGCACGATCCTCAAGTGATCAACGACAATCAAAAGATTGCATCGATAGGGATGAACAGATTGAGGCAGTTCTTATCGAACGACGCCAAAATGGTAAATTTGTGCAAGATCCCATCGGCATTGTTCACGACCGAGAAATAGGCGTGGAAAGCGACGAGATTGATCGGACGCTGGCGTCAAATCAGTGAAGATCTCATTTTATTGGGCTCGAAGAAGGAGAATGGAAATACTTTAATCCTTTGTGTGTATACTCTTCTCACAGCACATGGTGAAAAGTAGGCTTCAAAAATAGAGATTTCTTCGAAATGGAGCTATTTCTTCTTTTTTCACACAGACTCACCTTAACATGTTCCTGTCAGCCCTTATTAGTTTTCCGATGATTATTTCCATGTTCGAAAGCAGAAACTCACAAGCGATGAAGTTATCTTAGAACATTCGCAGAATCGAAATATACTTCCGATCATCTTCTTCAAGTCAACATCGCTTCTTATCCACTTTTTGTTTCTTGAAAAATGACGAAATCTTTGTCGAAACGATGAAAAAGTAAATTTGAATAAATAAAAGAAGCAAGAATGATATTAAAATACTCTTCACACAGCATGCTCTTTCGCAACCTAATTCACGTTGATTTTCCAATTTTGACAATAAGACTTCAATATTGATTACATTAAAGCTACCACTCTCTTAGAAAATAGGTGCATTACAAAACCTAACAGCTTATAGAGAAGTGAAACCATTTGAAAACTGTTTTAAGTTTCGTGAGAAACCAATTTTTTAAGTGAGTACAGCAGTGAGTGACTCATACATAAACTTTACTCTACGAGTAGCTGAGAGAAAAATAAAATAAAGTTTAATTGGATTATTTCTGTGAACGGTATCTCAAACATTGACTGATGAAGTCTGTTGAGGATTCCATGCATAAATAACAACCCAGTCAACTGGCATTTGTACCATTGATGGTGTACTATTATTTGGAATTGGATTCCAATTACTACTCGTTGTTCCCGCTTGCGTTTGTAATGCAAGTCCCATCGAAATATTTGGCACATAAGTTGATTGTAGAGTACCCCATACCTGATCATCGATGGTGTATACTAATTTGCCTGGCGTCCATTCAACACCCATCGTATGCCACTGAGTAAAATTAACATTTCAAAGATACTGTGTTGTTTGATTATTTTTACTAGTAAAATGAAATGTTGCTGATGTCGAATCCCGTATCCCTTAACAAGAGAAACAATATGATGCGGTTTAAAAATAAGTAGTGATACTAATACCGTTGTCGAAAACAGAACCGCCACCATCTTCATAAAAATCGATTTCGGGTGGCCATGAATTATCTGATGGTCATAATAAGGCTATAGCGGCAATTCCGTAACCTTAGAATAAGAATATATTTTCTAAATCATATATTTTACTACATTTTCTTTTAGGGTTACTTTACCAGGATCAATGCGTTGTCGAACTAAATATTTTCCGTATGTTGATTTCGAACCATAGCCTTGAATTGTCGATACTCCTCCAGATTTTCATGTGTTATTAAACTTTGGATCTCGGTAACTCTGTAATTCAAGTAAGCCATTTTCAACAACAACATGAGATCCATCCCATAAAGTGCCACCATATTTGAACCAACTCGGGTAATGAAGAGATGAGCCAGAAAAATCATCAGAAAACGCTAAAGTCCACCCAGTTAAATTTGTTGTTGGCATAGAAAGACCAGATGGACCAGCTTGAATATAGCCGATGAAAATGAGAAAATGGATATACACTAAACGAGATCACATATGTCTATATCTATCAGTTTACAAAAAGACTTCGTTACAGATTTTATGGAAGATAACTCTGTTGTTGTACATACGTAAAGACATTCTTGCCATCTCCTGCTTGTGTTTCGACGATAGAAAAAAATCTGAAAAAATATTTTACTCAGGAGAAGTAATGTAATATTAATCTCGTCGAAATAAAATGAATCCTGCAATATTATGTTTTGTTGAATTTAGAGATTGTCATTCGATTTTTCTTTAACTTTTTTCATTCTGTCAAAATATTTTCGGAGATACCTGCTTAGTAGCACAATAAACTCAATAAAATAATCTTCGAAAAACAAAAACATTCATTTTTCTTAATTTTTATCAACTTCTGATTAAGGTCACAGGGAGGATTATTGCGCACATTTTCTTGCGAAGAGAAAAAAGAAGAAAAACCTATATTTTTGTACTGAGGGTGAGGGTGAATCGAGCAATGCTTGTCACGGTTTCATCCTTGCTAAAGGATCATCAGATAGCTTTGACTAGAATACTAGAAATGCGAACAGACAAACAAAGCGGATTTATGCAAGGAAGACGCCTCCAAACTCGCATCCTCTCATTAATTGAGAATCTACGTCTCACGGAGGCAACATACAATCGTCTAGCACTAACAATCTTTGTGGATTTACTTTCTTCTTTCGATAAAATGTGGCACTCAGCAGTGATAAAAGCACTTAAAGAATTATAAATGCCTATAGATCTTTGGAGATGAACACTCTCGTTGTAACGAATAATGAAAGACGGATAGTGTTTCGTTACGGCAATAGCATTATTTTATTGTGAACACAAGCCATACTGGACGAGTAGTGTTACCGCTATCCTCGGTATACAATGTAAACTCTACTACTCGATTATCCAGTTGTGTTTGTTCTGTTCTTTTGCAGGCTCTTATATAGTAGTTACATTAGATGACTTAGTTACACAAGAGAAGAGAAGATATAAATATACGCATAGAACGTTCGAGGTTATACCAAAACGAAACAAGAATCAGAGTTCATTACCTGCAAAGATTACATCGCACAAGGGCGATATCATGCACAAGGATGACATCGAACACTGATGGCATCATGCAAGGATAATATGTTGTAAATGTACTGTGCCTGTCGCAACGTCATCCATCTCGATTGAGACGCGCTCCCGATCGTCTATATGATCGGAGATGATAAGAGAGAATACGATCGGTGAAAAAAGTTTTCATACGCTAAACGCATTGTATCGCGACTGCGTATATAAAATTGAAATTATTGCACTCACTCGTAATAGAGTTGAGTTCACCACAGCATATATTTATATAAAAACAATTATGTCAAACGCCACACCGGTACTTTGCAAAAAAACAGAATAAAATTCAATACCAATAGGACTGATTCAAGATTTTCATGAATACATCCATTCATGCAATATCGACAACATACATTAAAGAAAACGATTTCTTTCAAACGCCACATCGGCACTTCGCAAAGAAAAAACAGAATAAAATCCAGTACCAATAGGACTGATTCAAGATATTCACAAGGGGAACAAAGCTGATTGTCTGATTGCTTTGATTGCCAATGATTATTAATGATTGTCGATGATTTTCAATGATTGTCGATGATTGCTGATGATTGTTGATGATTGCCATTGAGTGTTTCAGCCGTTTTTCGATGGCATACAATAGAATCAGGTGTCTTCTGTCAATGTTAAAGGTTTTTGCAGTTTAAAATAGTCGGCAATCATATTTGTGACTTGGAAATCGACCATGTTTAAAGCACTCTACCCATCGCAAAAAGTGGTAGATATTCTTCGTTTTTCTGTCTAGGTCTTTTTTGATGACATCTTTCAGATTACTCTGTGGGCCCTCATTCTTATACATGTTTTTGCTTTAGTAACTGTATCCAGTTGCAGTATCTATCACAGTCCGTTTTTAATAAGCCTTGTTTTCATTATATAAAAGGGTACTTATATAGGTACAGCGTCATTTTTTGAGTTTTTGGAGACATAGAATTGGTTATTCTTGGTTCGGCTTAAAAAGTAAGAAAGAAAGATAATGGTTCTGATAGGCATTATCGGCTGATGCGTTCTTTTAAACCAAAAGTAGAGTAAAATATATAAAATGAAGCCTGAAAGAAAATTTTCGATTGCCTAGAGAGCGACTTTTGACTCTTGTTTTATGGATATCTACCGAAATCGTCATAATATACCGCTGAGTCTTTCTACTGCAGCCCTAAAATATTCTGAGAACTTTAGGAGATTAGAAAATACCTTGACTGAGATCAATTTCTGAGAATGGTAGCCTTAATGCAAAAACGTCTATGACAATACCCTAGGTATGAACGATATGTCTCTCCCAAAATAAACGAAGAACTACTGAAACATAAGCTATCCTGTACCTATTTGAAGCGGCATATAAACTTTATACACATTTTATAGAAAATATTTTATTGAAACTCACCAATTTTGACATTTAGCGGATCATTCAATTGTTAATAATTTGGATAATAGAGGACCCTGTAGCTGTAAGCGTGAACGAATCAAATCAGGAGTGGAACACACTAAAATAAAATGTGTCCTATATATGTGTTGTACAAGAATGTGTCGCAGACTCTATTATAAAAATGTGTCGTACAAAAATGTGTCGCATTGTAGATGTATCATAGCCTATATGTCAACCGTTCATTCATCATTTTGTTTTGCGAGTGCAGCTGTATATAACCGAGCCTATTGAACGTACTTGACTTACACATTTTCGTATGCCTTTTTTTTCTAGATTATTTCTCGACCATTTATTATTCGAGTACATGTCGAGAGGTCGCTAGATGATCGAGAATGGACTGCCTCGAAGTAGTCTGATCGAGATCAAATGGTCTCGAGACAGCTAGATCTTAAGATCTACTGTCTTGAACTCCAAGAATAGATGCTACTATTTGAAATTAACTGAAAAAATAGTAATTATTCGAATTTTCAAAAAAAAATAATCCTCCTGCCGAAAAATGGGTTCAAACCACGTGTTAAAAATGTGTCGCATGTGTCGCACAAGAATGTGTCGTACGTCCGCTGGAAGAAATGTGTCGCAACGAGCTCCTTGTGTCGCATATTAATGTGTCGCACATTGTGTCGCAAAGTACGACACATGCGACATATTTTATCTTAGTGTGAAGAGATAAGAAATGTGAGCTCGAAGTTATGGAAACTCAAAGCTTCAAACCCAGTTTTCTTCAATCTTTTTAATTCATCCTGGTCATCTTACCGGCCAGTTTTTTAAGACTTACCTAAACATCATATCTGCAACACTTTAAGAGATACCTAAGCATGACACCATTAACGATTTTTGACTTAATTGGTCTCAAAACTACCATCTCACAAAGTTTAAAATGAGATGAGCCACGGTCTCAAACAAAATACATCTTCCAAGGGCAGCCAGTCAGATACTAACATCTGACAACATTCTGAATCTGACCTTGTGTTGTCTTGTAAGATCATGAAAAAAATCGTTGTCTCAGAAATTTTACGTCGGTTCATACAATCAGATTCTTGAAAGATCTTACTATTGCATAAGATTTCCTATTATTTTATAGCCATATCTTACAATACAGCAAGATGTTTCAAGAATCTGATCGTCCAACCTGATGTAAATTTCTGAAAGAAAGATTTTTTTGTATGATCTTATCTAGTGTTCAAAATCTTACGTCAGCTTTTTCGATTTGCGATGCACAAATTTTAATAATACAGGATATCTTGCCAGAAAGCTAGTTGAACAAGAGTATGTTTACGTTCAGAAAAGCTATGCTTGATATTGTTTTTTGCAGAAAATGATTCAGAAAGTCTATCTTCCACTAAAACAAAAATTAATAAATCATTTTTCGATATAATTCTGTTACAAGTACTAGGGCAAATATATTTCAGTGAAATAAATGTTGACTATATATGATACTCCGCTTAGGCTCATCAGGCACACATTTATATTTCTGTTCTGTGCTAGCTGGGGTTCAGTTTGAACCGGAAATTTATAACGATGAAAAAATCCTTAATCCGCTTTTTACTAATTTGTTAATACTCACGAGGGAACGTTCCCAAGTGATTAAAAGCTTTTGAGCTCATATGTTACCCATTAGGTAGAGGACCACTAGATTAGAGAAACCTCCAAAGGATTCGTGCCCATATTGAGATTTGACAGAGATATCGAATTTTTAGTGGATTTTTCCTGCTGGACCAGAGATGGGCAAGTCAGCGATTTTTTTGACTTAAATCAAGTCAAGTCGTTTGACACAAGTCTCAAGTCAGGTTAGGTACAGTCATAGGTCATCAAAAAATTTTCTCTGACAATTCAAAGTC